GTCTGCTTTGCGTCAGGTGTGGATGGATGCCGGCACCCAGATTTTCTTCTCCTACGCCATCTGTTTGGGCTCTCTGACGGCTCTGGGCAGCTACAACAAATACAACAACAACTGCTACAGGTCTCTTAGCCGATACTCGGGCCTTGTTAAAAGTTGTTGAGTAAACCCTAACCTTGTGGCTGTGCGTTGCAGAGACTGCCTTGCGCTGTGCTGTCTGAACAGTGGGACCAGCTTTGTGGCGGGGTTTGCCATTTTCTCCATCCTGGGCTTCATGTCTTATGAGCAGAACGTTCCCATCTCGGAGGTGGCAGAGTCGGGTGAGACAATCACAGAACTAGAAAACCAACATGGCTTGGCTCAGATTTTGGTCGGTGCTTCAGTTTCGGCTTTTCTTGTTTCCAGGCCCGGGCCTGGCCTTCATCGCCTACCCTCGTGCTGTATCCATGATGCCCTTCTCTCCCCTGTGGGCTTCACTCTTCTTCATTATGATCGTTTTTCTGGGGCTGGACAGTCAGGTAGGCGACTGTGTACTAGTTTCAACTGATGTATGCTAGCTTTTTCATTTAGTTTCTGTTCAGATAAAGTTAGTTTTGTTCTTCTCCCTGCCTTACTTTTCCTCCCCCCTCAGTTTGTATGTGTGGAGAGCCTCGTGACGGCGATAGTGGACATGTATCCCACCGTGTTTCGACGAAAGAACCGCAGAGAGCTCTTCCTGTTAGCCGTGGTCCTCTTCTCCTTCCTCATGGGCCTCATCATGCTGATGGAGGTACAGCACATGCAAGATAGAGGCTTTTTTTTTTACCTAAATAAGCTGGCATTTTGTGCATTTAGCAGCCATAAATGCTTCATTTTCATATCCAACATGCTGTACCTCATTTCCAAACAATTCCCGTGGCGTTAGCTTTAGCCACATAAACAACACTAATAACAGGTGACATGTTCTACCAAAATGCTGCATATTCATGTTAGATGCTGAATGATTTAGCTAAAATTTACCACACAAGCTACAACTAAAAAAGGCTAAAGGTTAACTAAAACTAAAGTAGCAAAATGCTCATCAGGAGTGTTTAAAGGCTAGCTAAAAGCTAAAAGCAGCGTAAAGCTAGCTAAAAGTCAGAGAAAGCGAATTAAAGCTAAAGATAGGAAATGGTTAACTTGAATCTTAAATTTAAAAATCAAAAGGTTAGCTTAAAGTACCAAAAGGCTAGCAAGATGCTTATAGTAGTAAAAGGCTGGCTGCAAGGTAAAAGTATCAAAAGACTAGCTAGATACCTAAAGTAGTCAAAAGCAAGCTTAAAGCTATTATAATCAAAAAGCTTGCTACAAGTACCAAAAGACTAGCAAGACACTAAGTAAAGGTTTTAATGGAATAGCTATAGAAATAAAATTTAAAGAAGCAAAAGATTAGCTAAACATGGCAGAAAAGTAGCTAAAACCCATATTCAGCAGAATGCTAACCAAAAACTAGAAGTAGCTTAAGAAGACAAAAATAAATCAAGTACCGTACGCTAAAGAAGATTTCAAAGAAAACAATGTTTTTGAAGGAATTGAACAGGTCATCGTTTTGTAAGTACGAGCACGACAAACGTTTCCCCCTCAGGTGAGTCTCAGGCATTGTTACGCAATGCTGCAATTTTAATAAAATTATTACTTCGCATGTTGTCATAGTGACAAGATGGAAGAGATGTCGTGCAGAAAATCATGGGATGAGACAGATCTGTCTAATCTAAGCTTGTCCGAAGGCCTTTTTGACTGAAGCTGGAGTGTATTTTTTGTTTTAGTGTGAATGTTTATGACTCATTCACTGTGATCCGTTTTTCTTCCGGACGTTTTTCAGCATCTTTCCCGTTCCACAATTTTTGTGCTTTTTCAAGAAATCATATATTAAAACATTCAGCTCGTTCAGGAGAACGGTGCTATGGCTTTTGGTATTGGTTCAACTTTAGCTTTTTGAAATATTTAGCCTTTTCTTCCATTTTTTTCTCATAGAAAATGAATTGATCTAATTTTACATCCTTTAAATCTTTAGATCTGTTTACAACCTTTTACTGCTCCTTTCACACTTTGTTCTGCTTCAGCTTCTTTCAGCTTCCTTGTGCAAATTTAAACTTTTTTCAGCTATTTTGAACTAATTTCAGCTGGTTTTTTGTAGTTTTTTATGTTTTGCGCCCCTTTCAGGATCTTACATGATTTTTGTGCTTCTTCTAACTGCTTTCTAATTTCAGCTTGCTATGCTCCTTTCAGCTTATTAATGCAAGTTTCAGCTTTTTCTACTATTTCAGCTACTATTTATTTGTTTTTATGCTAATTTTAGCTTTTTCAACTAATTCCATAATTTTTGCACTCTTTTCAACTTTTCTCAGCCTAATTCAGCAAAAATGTGTTCTCTCCACATCCTTCTGGTAATTTAAGCTTCCTTTTTAGCTACTTTTCAGCAGTTTTTTTTTGTTGTTAATTTCAGCTTTTTTCAGATAATTTCTACTTTTTTGTGCTTATTTCTGCTTCTTTAAGCCTAATTGGGTAAACATGTTCCTTCTGTTTTCTTCTGCTAATTTAAGCTATTTGTACATTTTCAGCTAACTTTTTAGCTTTTTCTAGCTAATTCCAGCTGTTTTCAGATAAATTCAAGTTTTTGTGCTAATTCCTGCTCATCTCAGCTCCTTTCAGATTACTTCTGCTTGTTTTAGTTATTTCAGCCACTATTTAGCTGTTTATGCAAATTTTAGCTTTTTCAGCTAATTCTAAATATGTTGCAATATTTTCAAAAATTTTCAGACTAATTCAACAAAAATGTGTTCTCTCCACTTCCTTCTGGTAACTTAAACTTCTTTTTGCTGTTTTAGCTACTTCTCAGCTGTTTTTGTAGTTGTTGTTTCAGCTTTTTTTCAGATAATTTCCGTTTTTTGTGCTCATTTCTGCTTCTTTAAACCTAATTTGGCAACATGTTCCTTCTGCTTTCTTCTGCTAATTTAAGCTTGTTCTAACTTTCAGGTAGCTTTTTTTTTTTTTTAATAGCTAATTTCAGCTTTTTTCTGATAAATTCAAGCTTTTCATGTTAATTTCTGCAAATTTCAGCCTAATTAACTTCTTCATGCTCATTTCAGCTTGTTATGCTCCTTTTAGCTTTTTTCTGCTATGTCTGCTTTTTCTGCTCTTTCAGCTACTATTTAACAATTTTGGTGCTAATTTTAGCTTTTTCAGCTAATTCCATTATTTTTTAGCTTTTCTCAGTTCTTTCAACTTCCTTCTTATAGTTTAAGCTTCTTTTTGACTTTTCAGCTATATTTACTAATTTCATCCATTTTAGCTAATTTTCTCATTTATGCTCATTTCTGCTTATTTAAACCTAATTCAGCAAATATGTGTTATTTCTGCTTTCTTCTGCTAAGTTAGGCTTGTTTTTCCATTTCAGCTACATTTCAGCCTGTTTTAAAGTTCAGCTGTTTTTCAGCAAGTTCTTCTGCAATAAGCGCCCACGCTGCATTTTTGCAGGAAATGCAATTTCTCTATTTAACCATTGTGTTTTAACAAGAAATATGACTTTTAATAATGTGGAGAGAGAATTTAACGCTGTACCAGCACCAACCTAATGTTCAGCTGTAACATATAAACTCTGTGACAGATTAAATTGAACTCACATTTGATTTATTTTCTCAGATTAAATGCGTAGCAAACTAATTTAGCCTCAATCTTATATTTGTCTTTCAGGGTGGCATGTATGTCTTCCAGCTGTTCGATTACTATGCAGCGAGCGGCATGTGTCTCCTCTTCATGTCCATCTTTGAGACTGTCTGCGTCGCCTGGGTTTACGGTAAGCCGGCGTCAGATCAGACACAGAGTCTGGTAAGAGTGCGAGATTTAAGCCCGGCGTGGTAAGGTGCACCTTGTTTTCATGCGTACCGCAGGCGCGGATCGTTTTTACGACAACATTGAAGACATGATTGGCTACCGCCCGGGACCCTACATCAAGTACTGCTGGTTGTTCTTCACCCCGGCCACGTGCATTGTGAGTTTCAACCGCAGCACTTTATCCTTGTGTGGTTTTGTGCTTTATCAGCTGAAGTGTTTTGTTTCAGGGTACCTTTGCCTTCTCCCTCATAAAATATACCCCTCTGAAGTACAACAATGAGTATGTGTACCCATGGTGGGGCTACGTCATCGGTTGGCTGCTGGCTCTCTCTTCCATGGTCTGCATCCCGTTTTGGATGCTTTACAAGATCAGCACAACCCAAGGAACTCTCAAAGAGGTGTGTGGACCCTTTTGACCGATCGCTTCGCACTAGATCAGCTCTAGATTTTAATTCTGGATTTGCTGTGAAGTTCAAAACATGAGGCGGCTTGAAAGTAACCCGTATGTTATCGTTTCTTTTTTCTTTCCTTTGCCACAGCGGATCCAGTTGCTCATCACGCCATCTGATGATTTACCCAAAACCAAGAGGGAGCAGGAGAGGCTGCTGGTCATCTTTGCCCCCGATGGAGACGTCACGACAACCGTAAACAGCTACTTTCCTGTCTCGGAAAAAGACTCCAACTTATAAATCCCCTCCATTAAGGACTTGAATGGACCCTGCGTGGGTTACTGAAGATAACCAGAAAACACAACTTCATGTACTTTAATGCAGTTTTTTTAAAGGACTTAAGATTGAGCCTATTGAAGGAAATTACAAAAAATGTGCCATTACAGTTAATGAATTATTTATAGGCTTTAGAGGTATGAAAGCATTTTTCAGATAAATTACTCTTCCAAATCAAATTTGAAATCCATCAATTTCTTTTGTTTGGTGTATAAAATATTTTTTTAACACTAAAATAATTTTAACTAATGTGAATTATATCTGTAAGATATGATATTTTTTACTAGCAGACATGTGAAAAAATGAAAATATAGAATAGCACTAACATATGAAAGAAAGGTTACACAACTCTAACATGGTTTATAAACTGTTCATTTTTTTATGTACTCTACGACTGTATAAAGAATGTTAATCTTGTAAGTATGGTTTGAATAAATGCTTTTGTTGTTTTGCTGTGATATGTCATTGTTTTTGTGTACTCTCACTAAAGGAAAAATTATATAC